ATTGATCATGACCGTGGTCTCCACCCATCATTTAATAGGCAATGGACCTGAACGCTACCAAGGTCTTTGACTACGCGAGATTCATGAAGAGATTTACAGTTTTCTTGGCGCTTCGTTCGTCCATGACTTTTCTTGCCACTTGGCGGATAATGGAATCCCAAACGCCAGACTAGGATGCTAGCATGAACCATGGTATTTTTCTGGTCCACCCACAGATCGAAACTCAATTGGGCGGGCTATCCGCGGGTCATAAGATTTGGAATACTCTACCAAGAGTACGACAGCCAATCTATGCATCTCAAATTGATCCACCATTGGGACGTGAGGATCCAGTGGGCCAGGGAGAGGGTAGTCGCTAAAATGATCGCCAAGCGCTTAAACTCCCGAAAACCCTAATGGCATGTCTTATCGTATCAGTATGCGACTATCAGCGGCGAGGCCAGGGAATTCATCTCGATACACCGGGATTATAGTGACAATTTGTCTACTGTTCCGCAGCCTTACGGTTATATACAGCTTCAAGTCAGAGTCTGCTCCGGTGAAATATAATTGGTCGCAAAGCACAATGGCATGACTTGGCCCCAGGCTCTGGAATATAAACTTCAACTTGATCATATTTTGGTCTCAATCACTGCTGTGACCGAAGTGTGCGCCTAGTTGTATTATCCTGTGTAGTATTGTTCTCCCCCTCTTTGGCCATCATCTCCATAGCTGTCTCCACAACTGCCAACCTGCTGTGGATGTCCTCCAGATCACTGCGAATAGTTGCAATCCAGTTGCTCTGGGTATCCAATGACTTTTGCATGGACCTAGAAAAAGTCAGCATTTGCTCTTTCTCTGGTGGGTCGCACGACAGACTTCGTTCGGACATCTAGTCTTTGTGTTGTAAGCAAACGTACTGCAGAATACTAGAATTATGGGACTCACTCTGCGACACATTGAAAGGCGATCATGTTGCAGTCTCCAGGGATATCAGTCTGTCGGGGTAGTTCCAGTTCCTCTTCAGGTCTGGGGCCCATACTCCGGTTCTGTGGAGAATATTCCTGGCCACCACCCGCTGAGTTGCCGTTGCGGTGGTTGCCAAAGGAGTCGTTCTCCTGAATAGAGGTCTCGTCCTCTGTGGTATCACCCGCCGCAGACCTTGATGGACTTCGGATGTCCTCAGACTCGGAAGATGACAGGGATAGCGCACGTTGCAATCGGCTCCGAAAGCTTTGTCGTTGATCATTGTACGAAAGTTTTCGAATTCCACCCATAATTGCGAGCCACGCTGGGATAATGACCGTCCCTAATTGTGGTCGAATGTCAAAGGAGACGTCGCGCAGCCTTTTATAGAGAGCTGGTTCGCTAAACTAGAGCTTGCGATCGAGATTTGCGAGGTCCATTATCTTCCATCCATACTTTCCGTACTTGTCCCTTAATTTGGAATATAGTTTGACCAATCAATCACGAAAGACATTCAACTCTGGGGTAAGGACCTTTGCCGGAAGACAAAATATTCGCCACCAAAGTCTGTTTGATGTTACATTATTCAATAGCCGGTGGGACTCGGCCTGAAAACTCATTCCTGTTTTCTTTCAACGTACAGTAGTAACATTCAAGAACATTTTTTTGGAAGTGCGAAATTGAAGGTTGCTCGTTCTTAGAACTAGGGATTTAATCGAAGGGTGGGAGTCTGAGGGATGCTGAACTACGGAGTCGATATTTCTCAACTCAGACTCGCCAGATCGACTGACCAGAACGGTCCATGGGTCGTGTTATTGAGCCTTTGAAAGTCTCTGATGAACCAACGGTACTATGGGACCCGGTGGGGGGCTTTTTAGGCTCACCTTGCCCATCGATGCGGGATTCAAATTGTGCCATTGTCTTAAAGGTCTCTTCTTGCTACTGCTACTTCATGCAAGCGCCATGTCCCCACGGAGCGAAATAGTCTGGTCAGAATGGGAGGAGAAGAACCTTCTCTCCTGGCTCGATGCACATCGGGAGCTGCCGTGGAAAGCCCGCTCCGACGCATATTATGAACAATATCGGGTAGTGCGAAGCGTTGACTCTCTACGAGGGAAAATGTACCATATTCTGCGGAAGCAACGTCGCACTGTTGCCAAAGTGCCTAAGCATCCAGGGAATCGAAACCAAGCAGGAGCCGCTCGTCGCTCAGTGTGCGGTATAGCTTCATTGGAGACTCTTCCAAAGAAAAGGCCTGCCCAAAGTAACATTGGAAAATGGTTTCAAACAATCCCGACCGCTGAGCCTAGCCATACCGACAGCATTGAGTCAAACAAGACGAAGAGCTCGAAACCAGGTATGAATTAATCTTCATTCACTGTTTGTTACAAGCTGATCGTTCATATCAGGCCGCGCGACGCCACTACTCAGCCATTCGCGGCGTGAAGAAATACGATCGTCATCTTGGATTTGGGACTACGTACATCGTGTCTGTGCAGCCAGGAAGCTGAGATACCGGCGAACAGCACGTCCATACTAACAGCATTTCATCGGCTCGAGCGCTACATTGCGATGTTGAAGCAACAGTGGCCAATTATCTCGATTGATTAGTATTGCTGTATGTCGATATAATGAAGACCGTGTCAGCTGAGCAATGAAGCTGAAGCATGATGATATCGGAGTGGTTGTATGTATCACTTCACGTATTTCAAGAAATGTACCGATCGCCTTTCCTTGGAATCACAACAACATCGGAAGAATCCTAATGTCAAAGGTTGTGAGATGAACAGTTGCGGTGCTCTCGGAACTGGCCCACGTGCAGATTCTTCATTGATGTCTCCCTAATCCAGGAGCATTTGATCGGGGTCTCATGCGGCCTGCGACATACTACGTACGGACTATATATAAAAACCCACGGAATCGAGATGAGTGTCCGCGTAACAAGATCAGGACATGATAGCAAGGGGGCTGCCTTAGAAGTTCTGAAAGTGTCTGGGTTCTTATCAGCCCAAGGGAATATGCCTGGTTGGATTTTTAGAGGTCTGAATGCGTTTGATTGGAAAGGTGGATCGAAAGCGGAGTGATCTATAGAGTAGAAGCCGAGGCAAACGATTCATTTTCGGTCCACGCCCTAGTCATGTTTGACGAGAAACAAAGGTTTTTCGAGTTAGGCCAAGACTGGCAGCTTCGACCCAAGTTATGGGAAAAAGTTACTTTCATAAAGATCGTGGAATCATGAGCGGGACCGCCGATCAGTAGCGGAACCCCAAATCATTTCGACAACTGAGTTTCGCTGAACCATGGAAACGCTCGCTCGGTGAGAGAATGCGGTTGTCCTTAAGGATTCAAGCTTAAACTTGATAGAAAGCTTATCCAACTTCAGGCTTCTGGTCCACTTACTCTTTGTATTGGTGTTGATTAAATCTGCCCTGCGGTGCTAAGAGAATTCAGAGATAGTTGGGCCGCACTCTCCAAGATCTCGCGCTGTTGAAGTATAGTATTCTGTAACAACTGTATTCGGAAATATTCTGGATCGCCAGAGTCATGGCAACGATTACGCCGGGTGCTTGAAAGCTTTATGGGTCGGCTCACAACGCCGACTCCTGGCATATCCGGCACCCAATCGATTTCTTGGCTTTTAGTGCAAACCCCGGATACTCTATTCATGTAACCCCGTGTGGTCTAGCCAAAATTGGTACTAATTTTCTAAAGCTATCTGCTAGAATTGGCAGACTGGCGATCGAATCGGAGCAGATAGGGAGAGGAAGTGTCCGGTTCGAAGAGAGTAAACTGATGAAGGGAAAGGTTGATGCAGGAAAATATGTATTGCTGCTAGAACGCGTTAGGCTAGATAGACAAAACAGCAACTTGCCATTCGACGGAGGACCAATCACTCTCTTGCGAGGGCAACTAGGAGAACACGACCGCGGTTCGGATCTCTATTGCCAAAAGTGTGTGATATTCCAAATGCCTCATCTGCCTCAACCGACCTCCCAAGCAACAAAGACCTGTTCCATCCGTACGCTGACGCCCCGTCAAGTCTAGGCTTGTGGATCGTGTCTGGACCTTTGCAAACCCTTCCAATCTCTTCTCCAGGCCACAAATAGAACCTCCTTGATCTACTGTCCCGTGGGTCGTCGCTGGGATCTGCATCGCAGAACCGTACCTGCGTCTGTCTACATTCGCGCATGGTGTTTGATTGGTCCGTTGGGTGCTATTTGTGTCCAGGGCCTCATCAATGTGACAGTAGCGTTGCAATCTCGCGAGGTGGGTAGCGATCACGAGAACCTAGCTCGTGAGCCATGGTAGCTGAAATGACTCACTTAGTTGTCCTGGAAACTAGGCTCGGGTTCCTATTCTGGGCTTTCCAACAAGGTCTAGAATTTTTGATTCTCCGTCAAAGAATACAGCCAACATCCTGGATTTGGGAGTAGGTTCGCAGTGTCTGTGGCGCCAGATAGCAGAACTTCCAGTGAAGGCAACATCAGTTGGCCGCGAGAAACAGAAAATAAGTACCGTTCGAGCAGTGCGGGGTTAGGAGATAGACAAAATTCTAGTGGGATCAATGGGAGGCACTCCTTGAGGCCAACAACCGGTACAATCAAATGTGACTGTCTGCCACAAAGTCTCCAACCCATTATTCCGCATCTGTTGAAGCACTTCAACCCTCATGAAAGAGACGGTGACCGTGGCTAAAACGGGCAGTTGTAGAGTGCCACCGCGTTGAGCGATTTAATTGCAATTTCAATGATATGTAGGAATCATATTTTTGCGGCGTTACTTTCTTCTCAACAGGTGAAGAAAGTGGTTCACCACACTCAACGCAGGTTTTTGAAAGCAATGAATCCAGGTTGAATCTTGAGTCTGTAGGCCACAAAGTCTCCAAACACCATTTCAACGTTGTTCAGATGTCTTCAACGCCAATAACGAGACAGTGGTTCTCGCTACCATCTGCGCAACTGGTTCCTTGGTAGAGACGTAGCCGAAAAAATATAAAAGGGACCGGATTCCCAACCCAAAAAGAATCAGGACTTCGGTCCTCACACTCCGATGTGTCATGGTGTCCCTCTTTTGCCTGCGGGCTTAAGAGCTTCCGTGACCACGGCTGTCGCTGCCACGAGCCCAGCGATGTAAGAATGTGCTCCCTCGCTGCCATGAGCCCCGCGAGTGTAAGAAGGTGCTTCGCAGGATAGGTCTGCGTCAACAATATTCCTCGCAGGGGGGTGCTGCGTCAACAAGACTACCTCGCAGGATAGGTCTGCGTCAACAATATTCCTCGCAGGGGGGTGCTGCGAAATCAAGACTACCCCGCAGGATAGGTCTGCGTCAACAATAATCCTCGCAGGGAGGTGCTGCGTCAACAAGACTACCTCGCAGGATAGGTCTGCGTCAACAATATTCCTCGCAGGGGGGTGCTGCGAAATCAAGACTACCCCGCAGGATAGGTCTGCGTCAACAATAATCCTCGCAGGGAGGTGCTGCGTCAACAAGACTACCTCGCAGGATAGGTCTGCGTCAACAATATTCCTCGCAGGGGGGTGCTGCGAAATCAAGACTACCCCGCAGGATAGGTCTGCGTCAACAATAATCCTCGCAGGGAGGTGCTGCGTCAACAAGACTACCTCGCAGGATAGGTCTGCGTCAACAACAATCCTCGCAGGGAGGTGCTGCGTCAACAAGACTACCTCGCAGGATGGGCTCTGCGTGACCAACTGTTCCTCGCAGGGGGGCGCTGCGTTACCAAGTGAACTCCGCAGGGGGACGCTGTGATGACAAGTGAGACCCGCAGGAGACCGCTGCGTTAACAAGTTCTCTGCAGGAGACCGCTGCATCACCAAGTTCTCCGCAGCCCAGGTCCTGCGTCAACAAAGCGCCTCGCAGGGACATCTGCGAAACCAAGAGTCTCCGCAGGGACATCTGCGACACCAAGAGTCTCCGCAGGGACATCTGCGAAACCAAGAGTCTCCGCAGGGACATCTGCGACACCAAGAGTCTCCGCAGGGACATCTGCGACACCAAGAGTCTCCGCAGGGACATCTGCGACACCAAGAGTCTCCGCAGGGACATCTGCGACACCAAGAGTCTCCGCAGGGACATCTGCGACACCAAGAGTCTCCGCAGGGACATCTGCGACACCAAGAGTCTCCGCAGGGACATCTGCGAAACCAAGAGTCTCCGCAGGGACATCTGCGACACCAAGAGTCTCCGCAGGGACATCTGCGACACCAAGAGTCTCCGCAGAGACATCTGCGAAACCAAGAGTCTCCGCAGGGACATCTGCGACAAAAAGACCCTCTAGCCTGTGCAGGCACCTCTTCGTGGTGCTAGGGACCAGTATTCGAGTATTCAAGAGTACTCGAAGAAGCAAAGATCTGCGCACCATCTTGATGACGTATTTCGTATTTCAAAGGATATTCATCGGAGAAATAAAATGAGCCCTAGATAGATGCAAATCAATCGTCAGAATCGTAAATTCAAGATTCAACCTTCGTAATCGAGTGCCGTATTCCCAACCTTCCTGTCTTCATGGTTTGCGGTCGGCTAGTCTTCCCGCCGCAATAGAATGTATCTGCCATCAGGGCGTGGAGCGAACAAAATGGTGAGTATTTTGGTGCGTCGTGGATGTGTTAACCGGGCGTTGATGAGCGTTGATGGTCGTTGATGAGCGTTGATGGTCGTTGATGAACGTTGATGGTCGTTGATGAACGTTGACGGGTGTTGATAAACGTTGATAAACGTTGATGAGCGTTGACGATAGTGTCAAGTATAGTGGACCGCATTTTTACTAGTGCGCTTGGAGATATTCAGCTCTCATGTATGCCTGATTTGTGCCTGTGTTTGAGAGGCCTAGTAAGCCCTAAAACCCCCGTTTTATTCTGCACCTACTATAGTATTAAGAATCACACTCTCAAGTACTTTGCTGTGCTAGTCCGTACTGTCCCGCTCGGAAGTCGACAGATAGTATGGACGAGGGTGTTGATGTGTGTATTGTGGTGGTATATGGCCAGGCGGTGAAGTTGAGTGATGGTCACTAGACTTCAGCAAAGCCCAACCAAGCCCATTTCTATGCACACAACTACGGTATTGGCATTCATAACCCTGCTGATTAATGTTTTGTTTTTTATGCATGTTCTAGTCTATAAGCTCAGATCTCGGCCCGACGTTTTCCCCGGCCTCATCCGGGGGTTCAACTACTCCAAGAAGCAAGATATCAATATTCAACGGCAACGAGCTGGTAATAAAAGTCATGGAAAACAATGGCTACACTATAGACCCGATTTCATAGGAATTACCAAGAAAAGTCGAATTTGACCAGGATTTTGTACTATTCTGGCACTTAGAGAATTCGTGAGCGTCAGCACATAGATATATATATTTCATATAGACAGAAGTAGGTGTATCTTCCTGTTCAAGTATGACACTTTCATCAGTGGAACTCCTCATTTGTAGGCTTATAGGATTCAATTTCATGCCGAAAGCTAGCTAATTTCTCACAATGAGTGTCCGTTCCCACGGATAATTGATACTGGGAAAATCTGCTTTTTTTATGCAAATTCCAAGAAGTGGCATGTCTGTATTGTTTTTAGCCCATTGGGCCCCCAAGAAAGCCCCAGGGGCTTCTACCTTAGGCCCATAGCCCATCTGCGGGTTGGGGTCGGGTTGGGCCTTGGGCTTTTAGGCCGGTCCGGAAGTCTACATATGACAGAGATAACAGTTTCATTGTTTCATTCTGCACCATTTGGCATCACTTGCTACGATGGTCCCCTGGTGTTTACCCAGTAAAGTTCGCACACAGCCTCCAATTCGATTGAGCTGGTCCAATGCAAACACCAATATCCCTCGGTGAAGCTATAATTAGGCAAAACACCCACGATCAGACCTACCAGGTGTAGATGAAGCATTGAATGAGGAGCGCTCGTAATACATTTTGTTGCCCAGATAATTATGGTGATGCGATAGACTGTTCCTCGCGTAGTCGAATTTGCCGCTTCAGGCGGCTTGCAAGTCACCTACTCCTACTCTGCTGTAGAATGCCTACATCCACAACGGTCGCGAGTCAAAGTGGATTCCCAATAAAGACAGCGAAGAAATTGAGGGGCTTGGCTCGAAAATTTCCGATTGGCTGCTTCTACATGGGAGCCGTCGCAACCCCGTGCATAATCCCGTAAGCAACTACGATTTATATCGCCTGTCCTCTCCCATTATCAACATCCACTACTGCACCCAAAGCGATCGCCATTGCTTTTTGGGCATAGTACCCGAGTTCACGCGATCGAGCATACTCCACTGTGTAGAGAACATGCTTGCAGCCCGATCGGGTCTAGCAAGCGCCATCTTGACCAGATCTGGTAAAGACGATTCCGCCAGCATTTATGACGGACTTTGGTGATGCGATCTACTTGGATTGGAGCCGCAGCAGACATGCGCGTAACCAATCCCGCCGAAAGCAATCACATGAATGCTGATTAGGGGTAGAAATTTAGCATAGGCTGTCATAGATAGTCAGAGAGGTCGCACAGAGGATGGCTCCGAGTAAAGTTGTGCAGACATCCAACTCACCTTTACAAAGGATCTGCTTGAACAGTGATATGCCAAATGTCGTCCAGGGCGCAGTGAGGGTTGACAAAATATATTTGATGCCCAAGGACAGGGGACGTAGGGGACGTAGAGAGCTCGGCCATTCCCTGAGAAAACCGCTTGCACGCGATATGTCAGAAGACGATTTCGGTGATAGATACACGCGCTCGGGTTGACTAACCTGCAGATGCAGGGACATCCAGGGGAAATGGTCTTTGCACACGTTACTCCGGCTTGGATAGAAAAAAGCGTGCTTAGGCATCAGATCCAGCCAGCGTATATCCAAAGACACCACAACAGTTCTGACGGTGCTCTTGATGCAGCGTCGTGCATGTCTGGTTGATTCATTTTCACTTGTTCGTTTCCGCTTGTTAGCTCCACCCGCTGGAATACATCGACCGGCTCAGCAACGCGGAGTAGGATCAGGTGAAACTATCGGACGGCATCTCTTTGCTCGTGCTCTCTAGTTGGCTCGGCTATGACTCGACACCCTACCGTCTCCTTTTATCGGCTCGTACCTGATATGGTCAATGTTCATCTGTAGGCTCGAAATAATGGGGTCCCGCCTCACCTTCTCCTTGCACGCAGACTTAGACTCACAGCCTGCTCATCGGCGAAAGTAGGACTCGTCCGCCATGGGCCAGACTGAAACATGAGCTCATCCCGGTGCCTGTCGAGCTGCCAGGCATCAAAAGACGTGAGATGCGAATCGAGGATAATGACGATCACCCATTGGACGTCAGGAATTTGATCCACAAGGAGGCTATTCTTTCGCGGTGTTCGAATGCCGAGACACGGTGGTATAAGCCCATTGTGGCTTGAGCTTTGTATCGGGTAGACACATCAGCACATGACTGATGCACAGAGTCGACTGAGAGAAGGGCCGAGACGATCTGGACCTTACATTGGCTCATCATCGATGCCACCAGTAGTTATGTGGAAATGATAGACAGCATGCGATCGCATCGGTATAGGGGAGCTCGAGCAGAGAAAATGAGGGCGTCCTGTTGTACGATACGAGTCAGCAAGGCTTACCACTTGGACGAGTTGTTATGACTTACCTGTTCATAGAGTTTGCAGAGGGCACGCTGTGTACGCTTGAGACGAGACGATCAGTAAGCTTCGTGGTCATATGAACTTGCCAAACAGATCACTTACAATCCTCTTCGGCAAAACAACGCACACGATTCATGCCATGTTGTATTCTGGTCCGTCGCACTCTCCGGCCGTTGCTCCAAAAAAGCCGGGCTGTGGCGCAACGCGCATTCTCTCGGGCAGCATAGGCCGTGACAACCTCACCAGGCACAAGCAATCATATAGTCGTAATGGATGAATGTTTCGCAATGCGGACGACCAGAGACTCCGCCATTCATGGAGTGAAGGCGGTGAGGGCGAAGACGCGATGGAGCACGCGTCGTAGTGCCACCTAGTCTTATCTCCGATCCGGCGATAGGACTCCCAACAGGGATGTTTCACGGTGGCGATGGGCTGCCCTCATGTACAACGGCACGAAAATCAGCAATTGTGTTGATGTTCTGGAGCACAAGAAATTGCACAAATAACTGATGTAGCGCAGCGGAGGACGCGGTAAGTCACTCACACTATAAGGAAGAATGGATGTCTCAAGCTTCCATGTAGCGAAGCTCGCACTCGGATGTTCGCACCCGCTATTGGCCCGCTCCTCTGGTTTATATTCTTCAACTAGGGTATGTTGCGTGGTTTGAAGCGTCGGGGCCAAGAATAGTGTGTAGGCCATGGCTTTGTATTTGGCACTAACGGGGTGCTGTATCCTCGGGCCCTCTGGTGCGATGTCAATGGTTCACTGTCAATCATTAGCTTGCAGATCGGGGAGACAATCCATGACTCACATTTTCTGGTAGCCAAGTCTTGGGACAAAGAGACGGCAAAGAGCTGTGGTCCTTGCGCTCGTGCATTTGTTCGAATGTACTCAGGTCTATTGAAATCGCATCATCTTCAGGATCAGTGAGACAGGCCAGGCTAAGATTCACATACCTGCGACGCTTTGCGGTTGAGCTTTTGCGGGGCCACAAGGGCCATGATTTCGTTCTGAGAGAGGTCATTGGGCCAGTCTCCTGCACCGGACTTTTGCATGGCAAAGCCCTCTTGTCAGGAACTTTCGGCCGGGTTGGCTGGTGAAGGGGGAGCAACGATATGATCGGCAGCTGCCCAAAGTGACTTGAATTGGAAGGTGTCCTGAGGTCTAGGGGTGGTGGGAACTAGGGCATCTTTTGTGTTGAACGGTTGAAAGGACCGCGAGAAGGAAGAGGCAAAATCTGGGGAAGAGGAGGCAGTCGGCGCTCTTCGCCCACATCGGAGGCTCCCATGCTGGTGGTTGATTTGAAAGAACTTAAACTATGTTAGGACCATTTGATATTCAAAGCATCATAGCAAGGTGACTCACGGAAGAGAGCAGCGGCGAGAGTTCTCGTTATTCAAGCTGGCCATCTCTTCATACATTGCTGTTGACATACCTGCGACGCGGATATTCGCCTATCTCTTGGGAGCACACACAGTGGCTGTACAGTAGATCAGCTAGTCGACTGCTGTGGCGGAGGCATCTGCGCATAGACACCTTGACCAGCTAATCCAAAGCTCGTATCTTTAACCGGCTGATGTGAATGGCAGTGCATCTGGTGGGAATCATACCTGTATCTCTCACAGGCACTGTCTGGCTTGCTAATCCACGATGTATTCTATAAATGTCAGTACAGTGGAAATTCGGTTCTGGGTCAAAGGAGAGAACTTATCAGGTGACTCAGACACAAGCCTGCTCGATTTTGCAGA